GAAGGTGTGCAGGGCCCAGTGGATGTAAGAAAGTATTACAAGACCCAGTACATCTCTCCGGAGGGTAACATCACTCGTACTGCGGTTTATCCTAGCGACAGTTGGGGAAGTAACAACGGTCTTGGAATGAGTCGCTTTGCTATCGATAAGTGGGGTGACGTAGACAAGTACCATCTTGATGAAATCACGGGTCGTAAGAAGAGAACCTCTTACACTGAAGGCAAGTGGTTGATGGATGCAAATGGTAACTGGTATCAGTCAAAGAAGGATTTGACCGTTCCTCTTTCTGAAGCACGTGAAATGAAGAGAGGTTGGATGAACAACGGTTACCCGATGTTTGAGGGTGTGGATATGCGTGGTAAGAAGGGTGAGTCTAGATTGGTTCCCCAGGATGAGCAGTTGAGAATGATGCGTGAAGCTCGTCTTGTCGGTAAGAGAGATTACGATAGATTGTCACCTGATGAAAGAGGTGAAACTTGGGCGTATCGCGATGCTCTGGGTAAGGCTGATGATTCCAGAACCGCAGCTCTTGATGACCAGATTGACTATACCTACAGGATGAATGACGAAAGAGTAGACGCAATCCGTGAACAGATTAAGGCTCTCCAGGCACAGCTCAAGGATATTTCTGACGAAGAATATTCTGTTCGTAGGGGTTACGAGACTATGCGTAATAACATCAGAAAGTATACTGGTGGAGCACCCTGGCATAAGACTGCTGAATAATACCTAGAAAATCAAGATAAAAAAGACCGACTCAATTAAGAGCCGGCCTTTTATTTTTACTTATTGAGACTAGGTAGGCTTATCGCCCCATCAAATATGGCAAGATACCCATCATTGTTATTCATAAGATGTGTCACCATTTCCTCTGCCTTCATTGAGTCAATCAATGTCCCAGCCATCGGCTTGGAATCCATACCAACAAGTACACATCCAACGGAGTCCTTGTATGTATTGCCACAATGGATTCTGATACCCCTGCTTGCCGGAACATCATCATTGTAGAGCAAAGGCAAGTAGGTTTTCTTACCTCGCTTCTTCGTGAAAGACGGGCTTACACTAACCTCAATTCGGTAGCTTCCAACAGGAATCATCTTGCCTACTCGTTCCAATGTATAGCAAACAAATCCTTCATTGAGGTAAAGCAGACCTGTTACTGCCTTCTTGTCATCGCTAACCGTGGTTCTAATAAGTTTCCACATATTGCTATCCTATCGTACTTTCTTGAATTCAGTTGTGAATGTTGTAACTGTTTGGCAATAATCAGGATGTTCGTCCATACAAATTTCAACGGACTGACGTTTTCCTTCTGGATATGTAGCGACCGCACCGATGAATGTACCTGCTACAATTACAAGTGTAACGATACATACAAGGGTCAACATAAATGCAATGATTTCTTTCATTCTTTTTCTCCTTACAAATTAAGTTCTTTCTTATAATTATAGATTTCAGCCTTTGTCAAGTCACCAAAGTCCCTTGCAGTCCCATCAGGATTTGTTCCGAAATCAGTAGGAGCAATGTAGACATTTCTACCAAGGCTTGCAAGCTGGATTGCAATTTCATCAGCGTGCCTCTGTGCCTCCGGTTCATTATCAAAGGCAATGATGATATCTTCCCAGGCTGCCATCAATGCCACCTGTTCCTGTGTAGTAGAGGTGCCAAATGTACATACCGCTGGAATACCTGCCAATGCAAGTTTCCACTGGTCAAAAACACCTTCAACCACAAGCACCTTGTTACTTTTACGGCAAAGATTGGAGCCATATAATTCAGCCTTGTAATGCTTGACACAAGATTCTACTTTAGGGAAAATGTATCTAAAAGGACTTCTACCGGTTACATCTCTTGCCTGCCAAGCGATGATGTCTCCAAGGTGGTTGTAAACAGGAATTATAATCCTGAAAGAAACATCAATGCTAGTGGTCTTTCCTTCCTGGTCAGTATAGTTGGACTTCCATCCCATACCAGTGAATTTAATGCCGAACTTTTCCTTGACCTCTTTCCAATCAAGGCCTCGTTTTGCAAGGTAGTCAATGTGAATCTGGAGAGGTGTATCGGAGCCAGGCAAGGTGACCGAGGAGGCCATTGCTGTAACTCTATCCATAGCTTCCTTCGCAGATTCCTTGTGGTCCCGGCTCTTATTCTTGTCAATGATTTTCTGGGCTGTCTGGACATCTACCTTGCCTGCCCTTGCCAATACAATAGCAGGGCTAGAGCCTTTGCAACGCCAACATTTGTACCCTCCATCAGGCAGGAAATTCCCGTGGTGAGAATGGTCATCACAGCAAGGACATTGGATGCAGGTGGCACCTGGGATAACATTCTTGCCTACATTCCAGCAAGGTATGTTTAGTTCATTGCATACCGAATTCCAATCAATCATATTTTAATTATAGCGGTTGCCCAACCAGTTCAATGAAACGTCTTTTAGCATAACAAATTTCACATTCGCAGGTTCCGTCTTCTTGCTTTGGATAGACGTAAGTGTACCTACCACAACTAGTGCAAGGACAGTGTAAAGCACCAGCCCACTTATGACTTTCTCTACGTTTAAGAATTTCTTCCTTCAGCCTATCTTCACTACCCCTAAATCTTATTTCGTTCACTTAAACTCCTCCGCCTTTTCACGGCACTTGCGGTAAACCCAAGACCACTTGAGCCACAGCCTCTCTTCTTCAGAGAAAAGATTGTTAAAGTGGGCAAGAATTGAGTAATATTCACATACAGCATTCGCCCTCAAAGCCCTCGCCATCCATAGTGCGTGCTTGGTTGCTCGGAGTTCTTCTTTCATCTGGCGAACGGCTTCGGCTGCTTCCATTTCCGTGTTTCGTTCAAGTTCGCTAATTGCGTAATCAATCATCCTACTTTACCTCCCTCAACTCCTTACAGCCATATTCCATTTTGACCTTCAAGATTTCAATTTCTTTTTCCAACTCTTTGGAGCGGTCTTTGTAGCACATTGCCGTAGTTTCCCAAAGGCTATACTGGTCGCACTGCGTTCCACTGCCGTCATAATGGCTGCAAGCAGCAAATAAAAGACATGCAGCAATCAACAATAACCTCATCCTACTTTCCCTTCGTCGATAAATAATCCACTAATGCGTCCATATCCATGTCGGACATTGGGTCATCTTCGGCTTGAAACAAGATTCCGTCTCCGCTATGATATACTGCAATTATTTTGTCCGCTCCGTATTTGTGCAATTGAGTTGTGACTTTATCAACGTATGTTAGCGCATCTTGCACCTTACGCTCGGCAATTTCAACCTTGCGAAGAATTGTGTTTATTTGTTTCGCTGATAATTTCATAATCCCTCCATCATTTCATCTTTTGCGTAATCAAATCCAAAAGGACATTGCCGCCAGGATTAGAAATGTGATTGTATGTTATTTATGCACGACTTGCTTCATTCTCAACTTCAGTCACCTTGGATACTCCATTCTCCTTTGTGACCTTGAATACCTTGTCGGCAATAATGCCAGTACCAGCCACATCGCCGACCATAATAATCTGGATTCCCAACTTGTGACTCATGCCTTCAACAATTTCTCCCAACTTATTACGAGCTTCACCTCTCAATCTCGGGAAAGGTTCATCCAGGAGTAGAATCTTCTGGGAATCACTCAATGTCAATGCTGCAACTCGGAGTGCGAAGGAAATCACGTCAACTACGCCACCACCATTGGCAGTCAGAGGGTCAAGTTTGTTGCCGTTATCATCAAGATAGATTTCAACCTCGGTCTTTCCTCTCTTGCAGATAAATTCCAACTTGAACTTATATGCTCCGGGGAATACCACATCAAGGCAGGACTGAACAATATCGGTGAATCTCGCCTGGAGTTTATTCTGGGTATATTGGGCAGCCTGTTGCACGGCAACCTGCAAGGTTTCAAGACCTTTGACCTTATCCATCAATTCATTCTTCTTTGAACGCTTACAGTCAAGTTCATTATGAACCATCTTGTTAGCCAGGATGAATTCATTCAGCTTACTTTCTATTGGATTCAATATCATTGATAAGAGCCTCTGCTTCTGCGGTTGCGTTCGCGATTGCTTCCTGGAGCTGCTTCAATTCATTCTGCTTGGATTCAAGGATAGCCTTGATTTGGGCGATGTCATCGGTACCATACTGGGCTTTCCAGGCTTCCTTTGTACTCTGAATCATACCGGAATACTTTGCGATTTCCAGCTTATAGGATTCAACTTTGGTCTTGAGTTCTTCAAACGTCATATTAGCCTCCAACGTTCAATTCGGTCAACATTTCAGTTGCCAATTCTTCAACATTTAAATTATAGGCGATTGCCTTGAGTTCACCTGGAAAGTCAAATTCCTTCTTCAGGCTAGAACCTGCAATATCAAGGCAGGCTTCAAGGCGTTCATCACGTTCCTTTGCCTCCACCAGATGTTCGGTTGTAACCTTGGCAAGGGGATTATCAATACAAACCTTCTCGTAGGTATCATCATAGGAGTCCCAGATGACTACCATAGGCCGATAGTCAGCCAAGCCACCCGATTGCACGTTCATACAGCCGGGCATGACAAAGGTTTTGCCATCAACCGTATCAATATAACCCTTATGGTAATCGCCCATAAATACCCGGTTAGCTTTAGGAAATTCCTTGGCGATATCTTCGGTAGTTTCACCACCAGCCATCTCTGCCATCTGCTTATCTGCTGAAGGGAATACCAGGCGGTGAATGCAGATGGTATCACTGTCAGTATCCTTCTCGGTACCAAAGTCATATCCGTTGGCCTTGACACCGAAAATACATCCTTCAATAGGCGTATTGTAGAGACGTTTGATAGTGCCATAGGAGCATCGGTCAACAAGGTTGACATTGTGGTAAGGCAGGTCGTGGTTGCCTGCAATCATCCTGATTCCAGCAACTTCCTCACTGATAGCATTGAGACCATCAATAGCCAAGTTTACAACCTGGGCAGGAACTGTGGGTGTATGGAAGATGTCTCCAAGAACCCAAACCTGGTCAACTTTGTAGCTCTTGCAGATTTCCTTGATGATTTCAAGGTCTTTCTTCTGTGAGGCCATCCAGTCATCATCTAACCGGCAAACCGGCTTATCTTCACGTAGATGCCAATCGGCTGTAAGTAGAATTTTCATTTAAATCAATCCAAAAATGAGGAAACCAATCACTGCCATAGCGAACGGCAGCAATAAATTGTTATCGTCCTTCTCCGGAACCGCAGGATTATTGATGGACCAGATGATGCCACCGATTCCTCCGATAAGCAGGATGGCTCCAATGATTCCAATGAGGATTTCACGAGTCATTACTTAACCTCCTTGAGTTTGCCGGTCTTAATCCAATTATAGAACATTCCCAAAACAAAGACTCTTTCACTGCGATAGCAGTCATTCCAATACTTGTAGTAATGATGGAAGGCAATTTCATTCAGCCATTCCCAACCTGACATTGTAGTCTTTGTGGTGGCTTCTTCCCAGGTTGCCTTCACCTTCTTGTAGAATTTCTTCATATCCATCTTAAATATCCTTTACGAGGATGTTATAATGTTTCTCCCAGGAACGACCCTCAACACAATCCTTGATACTATCACCATAGTGACTGTGGCAGTCTATGGTGGCCTTAATCCTGGCAATCTTATGGGTGGGATAGAGAGGGGAAGTTTCTCCATCATCACGCTTCCAGTAGAATCTGCGAACCTTGTACATTTTATACTTCGTTTGTCAGTGTTTAAAATTGCGGAGGCTCCAGGGTTGCCTCCACCCTTGATGAATTACCAATTACCGAAACTCATTCCATTCCAAAATTGTTTGTAATCCCATGTTGTTCTAGTCACTTGGTGTGTTCTAAAGGCTTTAATGTCACAACCAAGTTTTTTCATTCTTGATGCAAATTTCTTGAAATCTTTCAATGATACTGCGACCAACTTGTTTTGATTGTCATCTTCGTAGTAGTAGCGGAACATTTTCAACTCCTTTTTGAATTTTACATCATAAAATATAATATTATTTTGAAGAATTTCCAAGGGGTAAAATTAAAAATAATTAAAAATTCCCAGGCAATCGCCCAGGAATTAAAATTATTTATCAATCCAGTTGCGATAGAAATCCTGGCAATCTCGCCTGCCACATAGCGGACAAGCAGTAGCCTTCAATTCTTCCTGGGCATCATCAAGCAGAGGCTGCAAGTGCATAATCTTTGAACTATTGGAATTCACGGATGCTGATGACCTTGCAATGCCTCCGATATCATTGGAAAGTGTATAGATGCTTTCTTCCATACTACCAATGCTAGCAGCGATAGAATTCAGCCTGGACACCTTATCCACATCCGGTAACTTGATTCTATCAATGACTGAAATCTGCCTGATTAAATCCATTGTAATTGCCGATAGATTGCTTTGTTTTTCCAGGGAGGTATAAATGTACCCTAACTTATTTTCAAGCGATTCTACGGCTGTTTCTGACGGTAATCTCCAGGTATATTCATTCACCTTATTGATAGAATCCTGTAGGCTGCTGATTTCACGATAAACCTGTACACTCTTGGAATTTGAATCTTCAAGATACCCAATGTAATTGTATAGAGAATGAACCTTATTTTCATCCGGCATAGAATTCATAAGATTCTCAAATTCATAGATTTCGGAGAATACTCGGTTAATCTTGGAGAGCAAATCCTGCTCTCTACTCCTCCAGGCACTTAAATTATCACAGATTTCCTGGAGTTTCTGAATCTTTTCTTCGTCATATAGTTTCTTTTCCAAATCATCAATGGATTCAGAAAGATACTTCAATTCGGTCTTTGCATCTCTGGACTTGGATGCAACCCAGTAGTTAGCATCATCAATGACTTCAAGGTTCACCAGGCTATTGATATACTTTGCATTCTCGCCAGGAGTATTGGAGAGCATGAAAGGGCCGTCAAGCTGACGTTGAATGTTCACGTCCTTAATATTCAACTTGTCAAAGATGTCTACCGGAACATCTGTTCTCAAGGCCTCATACTTAATACCTTCAACATCATATCCGTTGAAATCCTTGCCCTTGATTCTAGCAACGCCATCAATGGTCACGGAGGTCTCTCCTTTAACCTTACCCTTGGAATCCTTGATGGCGTTGCTAACAAATGAGTCACCGGAAGGTCTATTGGTAATTGTCCATAACATCGCTCTCATTATGGCGGACTTGCCACAGTCCGAGTTACCAGTAAACAGGTTGATTCCTTCAGAAAGGTTCAGCCTGGTCTTGCGATGGCTCTGAAAATTATTGATTTCAACTTCTCTAAACATTTGTTCCTCAAAAGATATGACCGGTGCGGGAATTGAACCCACAACCTACAGATTAGAAGTCTGTTGCTCTATCCAGTTGAGCTAACCGGCCTTGATATAATTATAGAGGTTTACCATTCTTGGAGTGACCTTTTTATTTATTAAAATTATAGGGACTAACCTAGGAGAAACAAAA